GACATGCGGAACTCCACGCGGCTGGTGAACATCCGGTATGGCTCGCTGGTGCCCAGAGTGGTAAGGTCATCGATCAGGACACCAATGTAGCCTTCGGTGCGACTGACGATGAAAGGGGGCTTGCCATGAACCCGCAGGCAAGCATTGATCCCAGCAATCACACCCTGGGCAGACAGAAAGCAAAACAAAAAAACATTTATCGGTGTCTTTGTGGCTAAAGTATCAGCACATCTGCCTCCAAAGACTCATGTGGCAAACCGTACCCTCAAAAATGCGATAGTCTGTGCTAGTAATCTAGGCAGTTTCTTTCTTGTGATACTACCAGTGTCTGAAGGGCTTCTGGGCCCCTGCTGACGTGACTAGAGACAATTCCCAGACCTATTCAATTATACCCGTTGCACAGTCTCCATGCTGAAACATTTGACAGTGCTTCCAATTACTTTTGTTACTGCAATCTCAGTAGCAGCAACTGTAGATACTAGAAGTCAAAATATCTGGGCAAACCTGGAATTGGGGTGAGCAACAAAAGGAAGAACAGCTCACTAACACAAGATGGCCCTAGCAAGACTGCGTATCAAAGACAAATGCCAAAGCAATACTCCTTTCTGAGCACTGAGTATACACGATCAGATTCACCCACCTGAGCTGCAGCTTCTTCATAGCCTGTAGTGCCATTTATCTGGCCTGCAAAGAAGAGGCGCTGAACAAGACGAGACTCGAGAGAAGCAGTCAGTTGACGGGGATCTAAAAAATCATACTGCACCCCATATCCTGTGACAAACGACAAGACAGATCTTACAGGAGGCATTTTGAAGGTCCCTATTTATCAGCAAAGACAATCAGTGGGGCAGAACGACTTACATTATCACCTTTTATTTACAATTTAAAAACAACCAAGGAAAAAGCCCTGCATCCAAGAATTAATTTTGTTTCACATTTCCTTTTTTTGCTATGCCCTAAACTAAATCTGGTTTTTATTAACTGGCAACCAGTATGAGAGGTAGATTTAAAACTCTTCACCCCCCCTCACCTGGCTGTAACATCTTGGCTTTTTCCAAGCCTGGGACAGATTTGATCACCTGCTCCTGGAGCTCAGGTGGCAGCGTCATCGACATGCCTTGGGGGTAAATGACATTGGACTCCAAGCCTTCGGGCTCCAGCCACACCTGATGTTCCCGGTTTGGGAAGCGCAGAACCTTTGATTCGAGGGAGGGACAGTACCTGCAACAGTGAATAGCCATGAGCACCACCTGACATGGAGAAAAAAAATCACTTTCCAGAAGCAAAGCAGGAAGAGACCCACAGTATCAGACAGATAGTCAGCTCATGCCACTGAGACCCTTGCATGATGCCACACACTTACCGTGGGCCCCTTGTTGTCTCCCTTACATGGTTGTTCAGGTGGAGGTTATCATGGATAATTTGCTGGGCTTTCAGGGTAGTGTGAGTCAGGTAACATGACAGCTGATCTTCTGGCTGAAAGAGGCCAAAGCTCACTTTAAATTAATCCAGTCACAACACTGTACTCTTACTGAACGACTCTGAGATCTCCCAAGGGCTTTTCCATGACAGTTGGCTCTCACTTCCCGGAGAGACGGGTAGTGCTGTCACAGCCACTGTAGAGACAGAACATGAGCAATCAGAGATCTTGAGCAACATGCCCAAAAGCAGACCAAGGAACAGAACAGAACTCAGGAGTCCAGAATGCAAGCTCTATTCTGTACACCATATTCCTAATTACAGGATAGGTATTCTTATTAAAGCAACAGATTATATCACAACATTCAAATCAACCACAGGAATTCCAGGCTCTGAAGTAAGAGGAGCAAGTGCTGACCCTACAGCTAACAGCCAATTAAAGAGTTCGGTGAACAAAAAAAAAGAAATCTCTCAAAACCTTGCAATTAACACAGAAAATTCAAGGTTTGGAAAAAAACCCACCATGTCAAGTATTTCACTGATTTTTCTGAAAAAGAATCAATAGACTCACTTTCAGAATAGTAACAACATTGCACCTCAACTCCTTAAAACCTCTCCTACACATAGCAAGGACCTGAAGTGATACTATGTTTGCCCCCACCCCAATTATAATCAGTTATTGCAATTCCTGTACGCTCTGGGGCAAATCAACTCCTGATACTTAATCCTGTGCTGCTTAACTACAGAACACCATCCATTTTCCAGGATTTTCTTTGGAAAATTGAGTTTCTCCTGCTTTGAAGTTGCTGTTAACATGCCACCTCTGAGCTCTGTGGATAACTCCATCCCTTCTCTTTCCTAGTCATGACTTGTTAACAATCTCTAATTTGAACATCTGAATCTTATTCTAGAGCTGGGGTAACAACACATCCAGTATGAATACAGCCCAGCTCCCTTTCCCAGCCATCAACTCCCCGGCTGATTCTGAGCATGACATTCCCTGAACCGCTCCCCACGTGGCTCTGCGTGCATTTGATGTGTGCTATCCCACCTTGATCCACACAGCCTCGCTGAGGAAGCTGAATGGCACTGGAGGGTTGTCAGCTGTACGTTCCTCCAGACCGCTGAAGTCAATCGTGTCTTTGGCAAGTCGGGGCGGCGTCCCAGTCTTCAGCCTGCCCACAGCGAATCCCAGTTTCTCCAGAGTCTGAGCCAGCCCAATGGCTGGCTGGTCCCCTAGCCGCCCAGCTGGGTGCATCTCCAGTCCGATGAGGACCATACCCCTCAGAAACGTACCGGTGGTCAGGATAACACTCCCAGCATGTACTGTGCTCCCATCCCCTGAAACAGCAAGTTTTCAGAGATGCGCGTATTTTAATATCAACAAAGCCCTGGTATTTTGGTGCTTCTGTCTAAAACTAGACTAACAGTGTTCACTGGGAGTTCATCCATCTTTTGTTATTTCACAAATCAGCACTTCAATAATAAAAGCATTAATAGTAATAACTGCAATAAGCAGCATGTAGTTATTCCTGTATTTTTCATGTTCCTAAGCATGTTACCCCCAACACAGAAAACCCACTCCTGGGAAAAATTCCTACCCAGGCCTTCATTTCGGAAAGCTTGTTTACTAGAACAGCAAGGGGTAATATAAAGCACGAGTCTATTAGTAACAGGACACCACTGCCCCGCAACGTTGTTGGCAGCGTACGCCATTTCCCAAATGAAATCTCAAAACACAGCATGGAATTCAGTATCACTAGCCCAAAGAACATTAAACTTGTGTAACCTCCCAATATCCTATCAATCCAGGTACGTTTTTCATTGTATTATGCATATTAACTTAGTTTCGTTCACACTCGGCCTGAATCACCTCTACCGGCTAATTCAACTTTCTCACTGATGAATCTGAAACGTTTACCCCAAAGGCCGCTCTTAGTGTAGAGTAACTGAAGATGCTTACCAAGTTACTAGCACATACCCAGGACGACTCCTGTGACTTGGCATTTCCCAGGATGGCCTGGCTCCGGCTCTGTCAAGAGAAGATCCTCCACAGATGCCTCACGAACTGTCAACAGTGGCGTGTTAAGGATTTCTTTCTGTCATGAAAGGAGTTACTGCAAAAATCTAGGAAGTGGAGACACACGGGCGGTCCCAAACCCTGCTGATTTCCAAAACATCTGTCACCCTCTTCCCTATTCCTTTCTTACCAGGCCACTTGGCAGACACTCGGTTATTGTACTATCCTGATCCATCAGGTGTTCACAGGTAAGAGTGAGCTCAAAAGAAACTACTTGGTCATGAAGCCTGACCCGTATGTAAAACGCTAAAGAATCTTTTAAACTATGCTGAGCTCCGACAATTTACACTGCGTTAAAGTACTAAAGAGAAAGGTGGCTAGGTTTGATAGGAAAATGTCAAAAAACAAACCCCACACCCCCCGCATCGTCCTCTGTAGTTTATCCTAGTACTTCAGATTTAACTAATTCATTCTAGTACTCCAGTCCACAAACGCACACAAAAAAAAAATCCCTGGAAATAAACCTGTGTTTTCAAGCTGGTCGTTGCTCTCGACTTTCTTCGACCGCACCTCCACTCCCGTTTCAGAGTGGCTGCCCGTTTTACCAGCCTGTGTGTATATTTTTATATCTATATATGCCAGCAGCGGCAGGCAGCCTCCTCGTTCTCCTCCTCTTCCTCCGACCCCAGGCCTGCGGGGTCTCTCCACAGAACCGCGTTTAACCCCCCCCGCCCGCTCTCACCTGCATCGCCTCCTTGTAGCGGCCGCGGTCGATCTGGGCGCGGAGCCCCCACACCGCCGGGCCCTTGCCGCGGTTCAGCACTTTGTAATGGACCCCGGAGCGATCGCAGAGGCGGGCGCACAGCCCGTCCAGGGCGTCCACCTCCCTCATGAGGTGTCCCTTCCCGATGCCGCCGAAGGAGGGGTTGCAGGACATCTCCCCTGCGGAGGGGACACACGGGTCAACCCCCTCACCGCCACCGTCCCCCAAAACTCTCCCGGCTTAGCGGGGAGACCCGAGGCTCCCCGCGGGACCCCCCCCCCCCCCCCCCCCGCGGTACCGATGGTGCCGATCCTGTGAGTGAGCAGCAGCGTGCGGGCCCCGCCGCGAGCGGCCGCCGCCGCCGCCTCCGTCCCCGCATGGCCCCCGCCGATCACCACCACTTCGTAGCGCGGTGATGTTGCCGTTGCCGTTGCCGTCGCCGCCGCCGCCCCGACTTCGCTGCCCGCCCGGCGGTGCCCGGGCCTCAGCGCCGGGGTTAGCGCC